TAAATATGTGTAGAAATAAGAAATAATCCATACAAGTTATTTTATATCACTTATATAAATTATTTCTGATTTTTATACATATTTATTAGTAACTAATTTTAGTGTTGTGCACATTTATTTATATTATATCTCTTAGAATATAGCACAGCTGCTTTAATTAATTTGATTTCATTACAGGTCAGGTAAATTAGGTAAACCCCAGAGAACAGAGTATCTGACATCTACACTATATTGCCAAAAGTATTGGGACGCCTGCCTTTACATGCACATGAAATTTAATGGCATCCCAGACTTAGTCCGTAGGGTTCAATATTGCGTTGGCCCACCCTTTGCAGCTATAGCAGCTTCAACTCTTCTGGGAAGGCTGCCCACAAGGTTTAGGAGTGTGTCTATGGGAATGTTTGACCATTCTTCCAGAAGCGCATTTGTGAGGTCAGGTACTGATGTTGGACGAGAAGGCCTGGCTCGCAGTCTCCGCTCTAATTCATCCCAAAGGTGTTCTATCGGGTTGATGTCAGGACTTTGTGCAGGCCAGTCAACTTCCTCCACCCCAAACTTGCTCATCCATGTCTTTATGGAACTTGCTTTGTGCACTGGTGCGCAGTCATGTTGAAGCAGGAAGGGGCCATCTCCAAACTGTTCCCACAAAGCTGGGAGCATGAAATTGTCCAAAATGTCTGGGTATGCTGATCCCTTAAGAGTTAGCTTCACTGAAACTAAGGGGGCCAAGCCCAACCCCTGAAAAACAACCCCAACACCATAATCCCCCCTCCACCAAACTTTACACTTGGCACAATGCAGTCATGCAAGTGCTGTTCTCCTGGCAACCGCCAAACCCAGACACGTCCATCAGATTGCCAAACAGAGAAGCGTGATTGGTCACTCCAGAGAACACGTCTCCACTTCTGTAGAGTCCAGTGGCGGCGTGCTTTACACCACTGCATCCGACGCTTTGCAGTGAGCCTTTCTACAACTCCTTTAAATTTTGAGCGTGCTAAGAATTTGGAGGGTGGATGTTTCAAGAAGCAGAATTGGTTGGCCAATCAGAGAAGGCCAATTATGACTAAAGAAAGTTCTAGAAGGAATACAAATATACAACAAAGATTCCTGGTGCATAGGGAAAGGGTGCCCAGAATCAAGAGCTACAGGAACTACATTGAAGCAACCTGTATCCTCTGAGTGGAAGAGCCATATCAAGGCTCAAAATAGAAGAGATAATTATTGACTTTTCAAGTCACTAGGGTCAATGGCTATGGACAGGTACAATGTTGCATGCATTCTGTTTTTTTTTGGCATATTGGGGTTGATTTACTAAAGGCAACTAGGCTGTTTAATTTGCAAGGGAATTTGAACTTAGCAGGTGAAGTTTGCCCTTAGTTTAGTGAATGAGGGGAAGGTTTGCTGACTTCCATCACCCAATCATATTCAAGAAAAAATGCTGTTTTTCCTTGCACATAATTGAGTATTCTTTACAAAGTGAAGTTTCACCACATTTACTGAGCTAAGAGAATCTTCCCCTGCAAAGTGCAAATTCCCTTGCAAAGTGAACAGCCTATTTGTCTTAAGTAAATCAACCCCACCAAGTCTAGTTATATAGTGAGGTTAAACAAAGACACCAATTGATAGAGTTCAAGCAATAGAGGGGAAAAAAAGAAAGCTGAATAAGTAAATATAAAATCTCCATAAAAAGAACAATATACCCACAGTGGATCAAGAGTAGGGCAAAAAAAACCTATAAAGCATAGTCCAATTTGCTTCAGCAGAGCAATAAAATCCTTCCTGTTCCCCTAACACTATCAAATATTCCCTGGATCAACAATCTCAGGTGTTAATACTTATAAATGCTATATATAAATATAAATATCTAGTTATATTATGTGCATTTAGGAATACATCCACCTTTAAAAAAACAACAATTGATCTGGCTAGAATTAGTTCCTGAGGTAGCCAATTCAACGCAAACTTTTATTTTTTATTTTCATTCTACTTCCTCTCTTATTATGAAGATGATTTTTTGTATGTGGGGAATAAACCTTTTTTTCTGCATTTTTGTTTTACTTGTTGAAATTACAAAAATCAGATGTGTTGGACAAAATATTTACACATGTGCATAGTAAATGGTAGATAAATCAAGTCATATTTTATGCTACAGATAAAGTTTCTGTGCTGATCTTTTTTTCTTTGGTCCTATTTTTCAGGGTGTCATGGTTGGTATGGGTCAGAAAGACTCCTATGTAGGTGATGAGGCTCAGAGCAAGAGGGGCATCCTGACTCTGAAATATCCAATTGAACATGGGATCATCACTAACTGGGATGATATGGAGAAGATCTGGCATCACACCTTCTACAATGAGTTGCGTGTGGCCCCAGAAGAACACCCTACATTGCTCACTGAGGCTCCATTGAACCCCAAGGCCAACCGGGAAAAGATGACCCAAATCATGTTTGAGACCTTCAACGTCCCAGCTATGTATGTTGCGATCCAGGCAGTGCTTTCTCTTTATGCTTCCGGCCGTACCACTGGTGAGTGAAAAAGTAAAACCTGTACCCTGGAGATATTTTTTTATTATAGATGCTAAGACTGTTTTAATACATACCATTGTAAACATTGATTACACACACCTAAATATTTATAAAGGCAGAAGGGGTTGCAGCATGGAGAGCTTACTTTTATTGCTCATTCAATAGTACGGAATATAGCAAAAGTTTCAGGTATTGCTGGCCCTTGTCAAGGCTTGAAAGAGCATTAAAAGTTAGCTGCAACCCTGTCAGCTTTTTTGTTTATTTGATTGTTATCTGGAACACTCCTGGCTGGGTGTTTGGACTAATATTGTAAACTCTAAATGCTGATCACCCCTTTGTAATAATTTTTCTTCTAGGTATTGTGCTGGACTCTGGTGATGGTGTAACCCACAATGTCCCCATTTATGAAGGTTATGCTTTGCCACATGCAATTATGCGCCTTGACTTGGCTGGTCGTGACTTAACTGACTATCTGATGAAGATCCTTACAGAGCGTGGTTATTCTTTTGTTACAACTGGTATGCTTTTTAACTGACCTATCATGGTAAAAAATAGTTTGTTTTAGTTTTCAGTTAAGAGTAAAGTGTGTTTTTAGGTAGCACATTCAGTTATTACTGCTGTATTTTGGAAATAAACAGACATATAGGTGCAGCGCGATTATCTACAATACTTCTACAAATTACTAAATTAATATTTAGGAGAATTGCAGATAATAGCCCTGCATGTATATATACAGGTGAAACTCGAATAATTAGAATAGTTACATAGTATTTGAGGTTGAATAAAGACATTAGTCCATCAAGTCCAACCTATTAGGATCTCATTCTAGGAGTACCCTCTAGCTACTAGACAAAGACTAGAATAGCACATGCAGCAACTCTTAACAATTTAACAGTTTAACAACTGCTAAGATAGGATATCCACACATGGACTATATTATTTCCATGAGTTGGCTGGATTATTATAGTTTAGCATAGGAATATAAACTGCTCGCTTTGCAAAGTGTATCTGTTGAAACAGTGTTCACTTTGAGCACGCAATCATGTGTAGAGGAAATTGTGAAAATGACTGGTAGCATCAAGCAAGTACTGTTGAGCTTTGTGTCAGACCTTAGCCTGTCAAAACAGATCAGTATTTGACAATACTGGTAGGCTTTTTGAGGCAGCTGACCTCTGCATTTTATACCTGAATCACTTTTTTTTCTTTTCGCTAAGAGTCACCTACTGTATTTAAGACATCATAAGCAGACAAAGTAGAATTTTTGTTTGCTGGAAATCCAATGCATGAAGTGAAAATAGCCTTATTCAGTAAGCTAACTGAACACTCACTCACTGCTTGCATTGTGAAAAGTAGCAACAAAGCACAACCATGTGTAGCAGCGTAAAACAGGAAGCAGAGTCTGTGTATGTGATAAGCAATAAGGCTACCCCAATGGACATTTATTTAATACAGGTATTTTGTATAGTGCCAACAATTTTTACACAGCACTTTACTTAGTTGCACATTCGCAGCAGTCCCTGCCCTCAAGGAGCTTACAATCTAAGGTCCCTATGTCACATGCATACATACAGAGCCAATTTACCTTCCAGCATGTCTTTGGAGTCTGGGAGCAAATTGGAGTACCCGGGGGAAACATGCAAGCACAGGGAGAACATGCAAACTCCTTCCAGATAGTGACCTGGCCACGATTTGAAACGTGGACCCCCAGTGCTGGAAGGCAGAAGCGCTAACCACTACACTGTGCTGCCTGTAAAATATACATGTAAACAAACATTTTAAAACATTGAGGGCCCGTTCACACCAGACACCGTGCGTTCCGGCCTGATTCTGGCCGGAACGCACTGGATCGCATTGCATCCAGCTCACTTTCTTGTGGGGCGGGAAGGGAAGTTGAGGTCCATTGAAGTGAATGGCACCGTAGCCACGCCCTCCAGCCCCAATACTATCGGCCACATGGGAACACCAGGCACATCAATGCCTGCGTTCCGGTTCGGTCAGAAAAAAATTGTGCTTGCAGCATTTTTTCTAACCGGACTTGACCGCAGGCATTGATGAGCCACGCGTTCCCATGCAGCCGATCACATTGCGGCCGGAGGGCGTGGCTGCGGTGCCATTCACTTCAATGGACCGCAACTTTGTCTCCCGCCCCACAAGAAAGTGAGTAATTATTAAAATAAAGCATTACTTGGGGAATAAATATTGAATAAAGTGTGTTTTTTGAGCTGGATTATGACTTTTTACTTTTTATGTTCTACTCTGGCTTTTCCTTCTCTGTAGAGAAGAAAAAGTCCAACATGCAGTCATGGTTTACTACAATGTATATATGAAAAAGAGCACCTTAAACAGTTACCCTTTCTGAAGAAATCACTACTTTGGGATCCCTGACTGTGTCTAAAGATCAATCATTCAAGCATTTTCTGTAGGGTATTAAGTGGTTAAAGTTTAGACAATTGGTCACAACACTCTCGGGGGGTGGGTACACTGTATAGCAGTTTCTGGATAGGTAAGTACTAAAGGTTATCTTTATTCAAGTATATATGTGTTAGCCCATGAGGGTCAGGGCTAGGGGTATGGTTAAAGTCTTCTTATGATGCCTAGTATAGGTGACTCTGTCGCTAAAAGAAACATTTTGATTCAGCTATAAAGTGCAGAGGTTCTTGTATATACCTGCAGCACCCTGAAAGAGCCTACCAGTATTGTCAAATACTAATCTTTTCTGACAGGCAAAGGTCTCATACAAGGGTCAACACTACTTGGCACTTCCTGATAATGCTGAAGCTTTCTCACCCCTTTGTATCTCTTGCACACATTCTACTGGCCAATGAGACAATCCATCATATTGATTGACATTGGAATGTGTAAAAACGAGAGGTACTGGATGGTACCTCTCGTTTTTACACATTCCAATGTCAATCAATATGATGGATTGTCTCATTGGCCAGTAGAATGTGTGCAAGAGATACAAAGGGGTGAGAAAGCTTCAGCATTATCAGGAAGTGCCAGAATTTTTCCTGTCAGAAGGAGCAAGCATTTGACCATAACTGCGGGCTTCTCGAGTTTGCTGCAGATATGGCACCTCCAGGTTCCCCTCACTTTACACTTGAAGCAGTTCCCCTCCCCCACCTTAACAGATTCTCTTAAATGATCAAACATCACTGTACAGAATGGTTACACCAATGTTTTCCAACATATTACTATGGTAGGCCATATTAATCATAGTTACAGAACTGTAAAGGTCAAGGTGGGATTGACAGTGATAATAGTGTATTCTGTTTGCATTGTGACACACTTATACTTGTTCTTTATATTATACCAGGCAAATAATATTGATATGTATACTGTATATGAGCCTATTAAGTCAACAATTTAATAGCAAAATCACTTAAATGGAATGGATTATCCCACTAATAAGATAACTTTAATGACTGTTAGTAATTTTTAATCTTTAAAGCCCTATTTCAGGCAAAATATTGTAATTCTGCACAGACAGTATTGTAATTCACATACATCTGCTACAGTGAACAGCCAGACAGATGGCACACCATTCCACATACATCCTCATTCCTCAGCATCATTACCTTCACACATCTAAAATGCACATGATCCAGGAAGCAGTCAAATCAAAGCAGAAATTAAAGCAGAACCAAGAAGTAACAGAGTGATCTTTCTGATTGAGTGTTTACAGAGAGTTAACTGCAATAGTTAGGGTCATAATTGAGGTTAGTGTTCAGGGGTTATATGTTTTGTGTTATAATTCAGGATATGGATTATTTTAAGACCTCGGTTAGATGTTAGCTGTTTATTGTAAAGTTAAATGAGGTTAAGTGATATGAATCAGCCTTGCTTATTGAGAGTTACGTTTTAGGATCAGATGAAAGATTACTAGGAGAGGTATTTATATAATGCCCTTAATTTATGCAGCACTTTACCTACTATTCATTCATATCAGCCCTTCCCCTCAAGAAACACAATAGAACAATATAGTTCGTCTATTGTGTTTCATGTAGAGTATCACTTATTTGGGTGTAATTTTAAGTGCTTTGTAGCGCTCCTAGTATTTAGTTTATATTGGCGCATGGTAATTATTGGTTTAATAAGCACTCAAGGTGCTTACAATCTAGGGTCTCTATGTCATATACACCCTATCAGGATGTCTTTGGAGCGTGGGAGGAAACCAGAGTACCTGGAGGAATCCCATGCAACAGGGAGAACATGCAGACTTCATGCAGATAGTGGCCAAACCTGAATTCAAACGGGGGTTGCCCAGTGGCAGACCTAAGGAATAAAGGGCCCTGGTGCAAGATTTTACCTTGGGCCCCCCCTCCCAAGGGCGGGGGGCAGGAGCAGATCTCACTGGCCCCCCAACCCCCCTGGCGGTATCTGGACTTAGCAGGGCACTGGACTTTGGACTTAGCAGGGCACTGGACTTAGCAGAGCACTGGACTCTGGACTTAGCAGAGCTCTGGACTTAGCAGCGCACTGGACTCTGGACTTAGCAGCGCACTGGACTCTGGACTTAGCAGCGCACTGGACTCTGGACTTAGCAG